CACACTGCAAAGGCGACCCAGGCCGAGCTGGAGAAGTATGGATGGCTGATGGTCGCCCACCCTCCCTACAGCCCTGACCTCGCTCCTTCTGACTACTGGCTGTTCAGCCACCTGCAGCGCTATCTGGACGGAAAAAGTTCGAAACAAAGGATCAGGTCAGAAAGGCGCTCGACGACTTCTTCAAGTCCCAGCCTCCGTCGTTCTGGAAGGATGGAATCGACAAGCTGCCTGAGCGCTGGCGTCGAGTAGTGAATGGTGATGGTGCATACCTCTAATCTCCAGGCTTTTTGAGATATTTACAAAAAAGTCGTGTATAAGAACTTATGCAACAACCTAATATACCTTCCTATTCGCTGAAACGCTGGCGTACGTCTAGAACTCTGGAGCAAAGTATGAACGCAGCCTAAACTTTCACTTATGAGGGCATTCGACTTACCGAGTAATTCCCAGTGTTGCAATGGTGTACATTCCGATACTACCCATAGTCATATAGGCAAACTCGGATCCCAGTGTGCCACAGAAAATTGCAGACACCTTGAAATATTTCAATTTGATGAAAAATATTCAAAAGAAAGTAGCAGACAGTTAGATAAACAAACGACGCACCATTCCGATCTCAACAGCAGTAGGAACAATGTTAAACACCAAAGAGGAGAGAACAAAGCTCATTCCTCTCGTACCACGATCTAAACCAGTGATTCAATTACAACGCAAAAAGAAAATAGGAAGAAATCTAACCTATGGCCTTCGAAAGTGCTCCAGTTTGTCGATTAAGGTGGAATGAAAGATCGAGGGAGTGGAGATGAAGAAATATGTTCCTTGCGATGCTTCGAACTGAATGGTGCGCAACCTTTGCAAAAACGGCATTTCGCAGTTCGTTCATCAGTGCAGAAGACGCTCGAGCCAGACCATCTGAGAATAATTCATTTTGATAGGCAAAATTTCATCTTTAACTTGAGGTAGTCATCATCTAAAGTTTAAGGAGAATGAAAAAAATGGATAAAAAGTATCGACGCAAATAATTAACATTTACTCCGACTGTGAAGATAGCGTTAGGAACTGAGTCAAATGTGAGTTGTATGAAAGAAGGTGCTTTTTCATTATAACAGTTGACGATGTCTCGATATAGAAACGGTACTGACACGTTTGCAAGCTAAATGAATTTAAATCAATGCGATCGTTTTGCGGTTTGCGCTGCATTTCAATAAAGAACCGAAATGCTGATAAAAACGTGAAGAAGCACACATCGAATTCTGTGTAAAAACTCTTTAAGATTGATATAAAGCGAATACAAAAGTTTTGCGAATTATTTCCTTACTTTCGAATGAGTTTTGTGTTCCTCGTCAGCAATTTGGACCCTGACCCGCTGGTGTGGAATATGAGGACTCCAAATTGAAGTGCTGACTACTATGATTAGTATAAGTCAACACTTCGAGGCTGGAAGGGTAGCATTCGAAGGTCCAGATCGCCGAGGAAAGTGTTAAACACCGAAATATTTGAAGGAAGAAACAATTTTGCAAAATGTTTGGCTGCGTTCATACTTTTCGCCTGCGCTTTGAGCGTACGGCAGCGTCTTGAGCGACTAGGAAAGTATAGAGATCGATCTAGCGTTTTCTGCCTAGCCGGCCTTTTTGAACGCTTCCGCAAGCAGATTTTGAGCTCTTGGCAGGCAGTCGCTGAAAACGCTAGCTCGAAACGCTAAATCGATACCAATACTTTCCTATTCGCTCGAAACGCTGACGCAAAGTATGGGCGCAGCCTTTTGAATCATTTCGGATCTTTGCAGTACTTTGTAATGGGTTCTTCTGGCCTCTTCAAGTTTTCATATTCAGAATCTAATGAGGCTTCAGCACAACCCTAGAAAACAATGCGACCAACCTTAGCACCGACTAGTAGACACAGTGCAACAAGAACCCTTGACTTTATTGCCCTGTTACCCTTTGGCCAAACATACCGCAAAAGCCGCCGTACAAGCTGCCAACCGCTCAATTCGGTCTTCGCCTAAATATGTACGTAATCATTTGCTCAAAAATACTAAATATGGTTATCGAAAAGGTACCTGAAGCGGAACCAGTGTACTTGCGCCCGGATGAAAACATGTTCGAGTTACGGCTTTAAGAAGTCCTTTCTGAATAACTGCTAGATTATCTAAACAATTTAATGGCAATAATATTAGTAGGAAAAATCATGCCCACATTATTCTGTAGAAGTTTACGGGGAAATCGCAGATTTAACGATCTAACGAGTGTCGACACTTGTCGCACCTGAAAAACTTGAATAAACTGATGGACTCTTTACTCTCCCCTAATTTCCAGTTTTTGCCTTCTCTTTCAGCTATTTTGCACCAATTAATTAAAGTTTAACAAACCACTTTTTGATGTGAAGATATTGCACTCGAGAGCAAAAAAAAACAATAACGATTATTAGCAGCTTTAGATTGGGAACATCCCTTGACTTGTATCTAATTTTCATTCTTCAATCATTCATTCTTTTCTCTTTTGTGTTAAACTTTTGAGTAGCAGCAGTAGCACAGATGCCTCCTTAACCTCGGGTAGTTTTTATGTAAGAATACATAAATACAGCCGAATAAAGCCATGGTGAAAGATTTAACTTACCTGAACTTGTGTGTTAAAGCGAAAACGTAAAGTGCACGATAACAGACGAGCAGTATTCATGTCGACAAGTGTGGCAAGGATTAACAATAACCGAACTATTTTAATACTGAAGGCTAAGCAGCATGCTTTTGAGGATTGACCTGTAATCAGGAATCTTTGGAATAATCACATGATTCATATCATACATAAACGTCAATTCCGAAGAATGAGAACACCGCCGTCTTTGTAAAAAAAGAAGACAAAAGGCTTGCGGACGAGATTCCCGTGGTTGGGCTTGCAGCGGCAAAACTCGTCCAGGTGAGAAGCTGGTCGAAGGCTTTTCTCCGGTTGCACTTGATTTTATGAATTGTCTGTTGTTTAGTTGAAATAACTCATCGCTACCATTCCTTCCTTTTTTTACTTTTTTCCTCATATATACCAGCAATTAACCTCCCAGAAAAAAGGTATTGGCTGTGCTTTTTCGTACACCAGAAGTCCATCTTGTTTTAATACATGGGTTATTCATTTAGAGAGATACACATGACTAGAAGTTACATTTTTTTCTCCCTATGGTTTGAACTTTGAAATTTGATGAATTTTGTGAGCTCACCCTAAATTTTCATTAAGCCAAAATTAGTGGACGAAGTTCCGCGTAGCAGTTCTTCTTATTAGTGTTAAATGAAGACGTATCAACGACTAAACCTTGCCTTAAACAAATTGCCTCTGCTTGAAGAAATCCTTCGAATACACTGAGTAGTCTTGAATGATTAATCTCAATACGGTACTAACCTTTTTTAGAGGTAGTCTGTTGCTGAACAGATTCAGCAGCAGGGTAATTTTGGTTGACAAAGATTTTTTTTTCTCAAAAAAGAGAGCAGAACTCCTTAGTGCTTCTCTCGTTCAGTGTCCATTACACGAGATAGCCGTAAGGATTTTGCCGGAAAAATATTTGTGAGGAAGGCTGGCAGCTCCCCAGCCATTTCGTAAATACCAGGGGTTCACAGACCTAAATAAAGCAAGCGAAACTCTTTCGTTCCACATCGCAGATTCACGATGTTTAGCGCAGCATTCAACAGGTTCTCCAGGATGGTCTAAATTAAGGAGGTAGCGTAAAATACCACCCAATATGCGATGATGTTCCGTAGGCTACTCGGCGGATCGACTAGGTAGCGAAAAGTGCAAAAATCCTGGTCACGAGGCCGGGGAGGGGGGCGTGGTGGGGGTGGTGAGCCGTTTTAGGTGGAGATGCTCCGGGACGAGCGAGCACTTATCATTCATGAAGAGAAGAAATGTCACAATGGTCAGGATGTAAAGCAGTCATGAGAGCAAGAAAAATGAAAAGTTGACGCTGTTGAAGGGATTGAGTTCTAGCGTCCTTACACCTCGACCCCCACAGCAGCTGGCATCCGTACGAGTTTTCCAGTGAGGTGTTTGTAAGAGCTCCCCCCCCCTCCCCTTCTGTCGTCGTCTGACGTTTTCGAAAAGAGCATTGGAGTCTTTGAGCGGGGGACGGGGGCATGATTTGTGAGAACATTTGTGAGATACTGTGGAAGAAGATAGGAACATTAACTGAGAAATTTGATGGATGACGGTATTTCGGACCTACTGCACCACATTCCGGATCTTAGTTTGGATCTCATCACTTTTTGGACGTTATCTCAACTGAGGTTGAGAGGCACGAGTAGTTTCTGAGTCGCATACCATTCGACCATAGTCTTAAGCTAAGAAACTTCGAAGCTCCCCTCCCCCTAAATCTACCGCATGCTCAACATCCCATATAGACGGGAATCTCGCTTGGCCTGATTAGCGTTACTTTCCAGATGAAAGTGTAGAGCAACCAAATGAGCTGGAGGGTGTGAAATGTGGCCACCCATGTTGTTTAGCTCTATATCGGTGCACGTTTTAACGAGCTAGTCACATGAACCTGTTTGGAAAACTCGTCCGGCAATTCCGAGCGTGACGCAATCCTCACTGGTAACTATGCGTATAGTTAGTTGTTCTAGTGAAGTCACTCGAGGATGCCAGCGGGGAAATCGCTCTTGGCGTGGCGCCAGCCCATTTTCTATTAATTGCTGCTGCTTCTGGTGTTCAATGAGCGGAGGGGATGAAGTTGGCACCTCGCTGAAACCCACGCAGTGCTGACACGCCTAGATTGACTTCAGTGATAACGGCTTCAGTGAGAGCTGCCTTTATAGTTGTATTCAGGGAGCCGCATGCATTGACTGTGAAGTCTAGTGCTCGAGCTCGTACTAAGCGCGTTACACACGTAGAGGAACTCAATCCCTGACTGACCTGAATCTGACCAATCTCGATTACTTTTGTGACCTGACTCAATCAAAGGATCGGTTATGTGTATTTTTTCGGACCGTGCCTGTACTCATCTCCGTCTTTCTGCTCTGATCATATGATTCGAAACGACAATGTGTTAAACTACCAGTTCCACTCACTGACTCATCGCGTCCCTAAAGCAGTAAAAACAAAAATTGCAAATTTTTGCAGAACTTATGGAATGGAAGTTCAGAGTCAACATTTTGTCAAACATCCTACATTCACTACCAATGCTTCTCATCGTTGAAAAACTCCGATTCACGAGGCGGTCTTTTTTGGGCGCTACAGGGATTGCAACTCACAAGGGAGGTGTTTTCAGGTCATGGGCGCTTTTTGGAAATGGTTTGTTGCTTGTTGTAGGGGTCCATACAAGGGTCACAAAAATGGGTTTCATTTTTGCTATGCGTTTCTGGGTAGGTCAAAAACTGAGTGAAAAGAATTTGACAAGAATGGGCGGTTTTAACAACCTTAATGGGCTCCTTTCTGCTTGTCACTTCGAGCCATGCATCGACGCAACAGTTTTTT